GTGACCAGGCTGTGGCAGCCCCTCGCCGGTGCCCCCAGCCTCAATGCCAGCACAGTGACAGGGATTGACCTTTACATTTGCCACTATTCCTAATTTTTCCCTCTTACACTCTCTGACCCTGAATAATAACAAAAAAACCTTGTAAGTTTATTTCTGTGTGCAGGGTGATGGAGTTACGTATGCATATATGTAGTGAGGGAGTTGATTTCCCAGCTTTTACGTGGCTGTTACTTGGACAGGTTTGGCTGGAATCCTAGGGGAAGAGATTTGGTAACCCTGACCCTTCCCTTGTCGTTCTGTGTGAGGTGCAGAGGCTGATGCAACGTTCCCGGAGCGACAGCGTTGGGATGGTTTGCCCGGGTGAAAGGTAGAAGAGCCACGAGCGATTGGGACAGCACTGCAATCTCCATCGGCTCTTTGGTATGTCCCTTTCCCTCTGGGTGGGAGTGTTCTCCTCCCATGTTTTTCACCTTTTTTTGGTGTATTCCCACATTATCGCATCCCACATCTTAGAACCTGTGACAGGAACATCCGATATTTGCTGAATATTATCAGACAGCCTGGCTTGTTTGGAATAAGTCATGGGTGTAATGCAGAAAATCCAATATTTCCCTGATTTTAGTAATATTTCACTGATTTTTACAAGTATCGTATCACGTTCACCACGTTTGAATAATGCCATCACTTAATGTCTTGTAAGGGTAGAAGCAATAAGTGAGAGAAGCAGCGGCACCGCGTAGCTAGAAAGGAAAACATAGATAGATGTGTTTTGTGTCTAGTAGAAAGATCAAATGAGGTGGTAGCCGAGGAACTGGGGAGGTCTCGGGTAACACGGGTGGTGACGGTGGTGCCACCAGTGCCCGTGGGCACGTTGGGTGCGAGGAGACCCAGGAGAATCCGGCAGAGGGGGAATCTGGAATGGGACGGTGCATTGAGAGCCAGCTGGAGCTGCAGAGTCGGGGTGACATCGCCCTGCTCGTGAGTGGCTGTGAGCAGGTGTTTCCTTGACAAGAGCGTCTGGCACACGCAAGTAATCCTTGCAGATATGCTGTGGAAAGCAAAAAAAGGGAGTTGCCAAAGCAGGAACGAGTAGATCCGTTCTGTTTTCCTTCTCGCTCTGTGGCACAGCTGTTTCAAACAGTCTAGTGAAGCTGGTTTTAACTCCCTGATAGGATTAGGACCTATTTGCAGTTGGTTTTAGAAAACCTCATCTTTATTTCACACAGAATCACAGAATCGCTCGGTTGGAAAAGCCCTCTGAGATCATCACGTCCAACCGTTCCTGTCTACCCCCTAAACCATGTCCTTAAGTACCTCATCTACCCGCTCTTTAAACACATCCAGGGATGGTGACTCCACCACCTCCCTGGGCAGCCTGTTCCAGCTTCTGACGACCCTCTCAGTAAAGAACTTCCTCCTTATCTCTAACCTGAACCTCCCTTGGCACAGCTTGGTGCCGTTTCCCCTTGTTCTATCCCCCATCACCTGGGAGAAGAGCCCAGCACCCACCTCTCTACAAGCTCCCTTGAGGCAGTTGGAGGTGGTGATGAGGTCTCCCCTCAGCCTTCTCTTCTCCAGGCTAAACAAGCCCAGTTCCCTCAGCCGCTCCTCATCAGGCTTGTATGTAGGTATGTGACTTCCTTTCCCTTTCCTAGGAGTCTGCAGCTGCTCCGGGAGGATGGACACCCTGAGGAACCGGACAGTGGAGGAGCTCCAGGAGCTGCAGGAAAACGCAGAGGAGATTGAGCGCCTGGCCCTGGAGTCCCAGGAGGTACGTGCTGCTGGCGTGACACAGCCCGGGCTTCGTTAGCACCTGGCCAGAGGTGACCCTCACCAACCCTTCCCCAGGTTCAGGAGCTGCAGCTGGAAAGGGAGATGGCCCTGGCCTCCAACCGGAGTTTGGCCGAGCAGAACCTGAAGTTCCAGGCGCCGCTGGAGACGGGGCGCGCTGACCTCTCTAACAAATACGAGGAGCTGCAGAAGCTGGCTGAGCGCTGCAAAGAGCAGAAAGCCAAACTGGGTGAGTGTTTGCAAACCTTGCAGCCTTTCCGATGGAGCTGCGTGGGCTGTTGTCAGTGCTGCATCCTTCCCTTTTGCTTCCGCCTACCTTGGCCTTACTGAGCAGAGGAATTCTTTAGGGTGGTGGCAGAAAGGACTCTGCTGCATGGAAAATCTGTGTTCTCCCCTTTCCTGATAGAGCTCAGTTGGGCAGATCAAGGATGCTGTCCCAGGAGAAATCCCCTTTAGCGCAGCAGTGGCGAAGGTTCTTTCCTCTTCAGATTTTCTCCTTGCATCAACAGTTTCCAAGGCAGGGAAGCATCCTGTGAGAGTGCCACAGGGCCGTGAGCTAATAATTGTGCCCCATTGTTTGTGTTTCACGTTTTGCTCTGCTGCTCTCCTCGTTTCCCCAGAGAAATTTTCAGCGGTGATGCACCCTCAGACCTTGCTGGATCTCCTGCAGGTGGAAAGCCAGAAAATCGAAGAGGAGTCTGAGGTGAGCTTAATGTTTAAATCCATTAGCAAGGCAATTGATTAGCCCTCCAAGCCTTGCAGTTACGCTGCCAAGCCTCATCCCTTAAATCAAGGATTATCCCTTTGTAGTTTGGCGTTGTTGTTCCAGAAAATTGGATTGCCCTTTGTTTGTGTGCGGTGCCGTGGTCCCAGAGAGGGACGTAAATCCTAAGCTGGGCTTGGGGAAGGAGAGTAGAGGGATGCAGTGCTGATGCTGAGGCTGTTTTCTCCTGCAGAAAATGGCCGAGAAGTTCCTGGAGGGCGAGGTGCCCCTGGAGACGTTTCTCGAGCAGTTTTCCATGATGAGGAAGTTGTCCCACTTGCGCCGGGTCAGAGTTGAGAAGCTGCAGGAGACTCTGAGGAAGTCGGAAGCGTCGCAGGAACCTGGCAGGGACTCTCAGCAGCAGCAGCCTCCTCACGTACCTGCGCCCGCGGAGCCGCCGAAGCTGCAGCCCATCCCTTCAGGGGCTCCTTCCTTCCCTTTACCCTATAGCCCGGCCCCGGCCATGCCGGTCGGCCCCACAGCCCATGGAGCTCTCCCTCCTGCTCCTTTCTCTGCCTCCCCGGTCACCGTAGGCCACATCGCTTCCTCTCAGCCAAGCACCCAGCCCGGGTTTCCCTATAAACCCACTCCGGGTCCCGGATATCCACCAGTGCAGGCTGGTGACTCGGCACCGGGG